GATAGCAAATAGCACCAGTCTCGTCGATGCTGGTGAGTACGACGCACACGCAGAACCAACGTTGGTCATGAACTCACGTTTGCCAAGGCACGAAGCTTCGACCCGTACAGATTGTCGAAAAGTTGATTTGGGTAGCTGTCAACACAGGCACTCGCTTTCGTCCGCTATCTCAGAACTGCGCTACAAAGTAGTCGAAAAAATGATATAAACAAAAAAGACTGTGGTGCCTTGATGCTGATTTCAGCTACTTCATTATGTGAGGAACTGATTCGAGTGTCTTTTCGCTATGGAACCTGAAAAAAAGACAAAAGCGTAGCAGCTGAAACCAGATATTATTTTATTTAGAGAACGGAGTTCCCAAAAATCCAGCTCATGGCTTCAGTGGCTCTTCAAATGCATTAATACCTTAATCTGAACTCTGAAATTCGGAAACTAAAAATTCGGAAATTGAGATTCGGAAATTTGAAACCGAAAACTGTGCTTCCAGAATTTCATCTTTTTAATTTTTGCAGCACTTGAACTAAATTATCAGGATAGATAAACTATGCGCTCGCATACACATACTTTCATTTCGAGGAGATGTGAAGTCATCGCATTGTATTTTGGTTTTTGAAAGCAAATAAATGATGGCATGATGGAATCTGTTCAAAAATAATCATATAGTCCTTCAGTGTTTGGCTCTCAGTATTGCAGCAATGCAAGCACGTGCCTAGTAGAGCAGCTTCCGTTCGCCTCAAAGCTTTCCAGTTTGTTTTGACTGTTGTGATCGTCGACCAGGTCGTGTTATTTTCACACCCCAACAAAAGCTTACTGCATTCCAGAAGCGTGACACGATGGTCCATTTGAACATTGGATGAATGTAAAACTGGAGCGGAAGAATGAATTCATCTTCGATAAGAAGCTCTTGCACTTCCCCAACTTTCGTTTGTGGCCAGCTAATAAACGTTGGCTTGTCTAACTCAGATGTGTTCATTTCCGAACCTAAACTATAGCCTCGAAACACTCCTTACCATAGCAAAAAGTGACATTTCGGTGGATTTCCAGAAGATTAACCAAATCTTCATAACATGAGGACAGAAAGACTTGTTCTACTAAAAACACCTTTTTTCCGAGAAACAAAAAGGTTCGATTGACGATATCTACGCCATTTAGCTGACAGCCAATCAAAATATGAAACATTTTTATAGCTTGAATTCACCTGAAATTTTTTTTGAGCAGGTATTGAACCAATAAAAGTTCAAGTGATTTCACAATCAATAAAATGATATATGCATTTATAAAGTTTATGCAAAATTTGGTACTCTAAGGGAAGTTACCGGCCAGCGTTTATTTGCCAGTTGAATCGAGCCAGACAGAGACCACTCGGAACGTGACATAGAATTTGCTACAATTCTGTTATGGCCAGAGAAATTAACATGCAGCTGGCCTTCAATGACAGTTGTCTTTTCACGACTGTTTGTTGTTCTGCATTCACAGAGCGTTCCAAAATTTCACATCAAACCACACGAGCTGAATGCACGTTAGGCTGAAACATTCAACTGCAAACTCGTTTACGTTGCTTTTGTAGCCATCTAATTCAAACAGAATGTGTTTAAAATGAAACCTGGTGCATAAATCTCGCCCGGTACTGTACTGTATAAACCACAGACGTTGATCCGAATCCAATGAGCTTTACGGACGAGGACCTGGATGATGAGCATGGATCCATGCATTTGTTTACGCATGGTCTGAGGCTCAAATGACATGAGCAGGTTCGGCTATAGTAATGCATTATTCGTTTTCGTCCTGAAGTAGAGATTGCTGTAAAATGTGTAAGAGCATTCATTAAAACGTGAGTTACTGCGAAACCGATTAATAACGAT